CAGGATGAAGTTATTCATTCTTGCTAACTCAGTTTTCCTATCAGTAATTTTCTCTGTTATTTCTCATGTCCTGTGTTCTGAGAAAGCCACAGATGACCAAGCTTAACCCATTCAAGCATTTTGAATAAGTGTAAATAGATTCTGTGGGAGGAATTGAGTTCTTCTTCCAGGACTCTGGTGCTCAAGCTGTGGTGCCTAGACCTTGAGACACATGGTTTGGTAGTTCAGAGGCCTCTGCACTTTACTTCCCTGTTCTCAGGTAGGTCAGGTAGGTGAAGTAGCAAGATGAAGAGCTGTTGGAGTGCCCATTTTTTCCCCCTAACATACTAAATACAACTTGATCCTAATTTCTGGACTCAGTTATTGTTATACATGACAATATTTAGAATTCTCTGTGGGTACATTGAAGAATTAATCAAATTCTCCCACATTATCTGTTCAGAGTGTGGCTTCTGCTACTTCTTCCAGCTCAGTGATAAAGTCCAAACCCCATTTTCGCCACCACTACCACTATCAGAGCTATTGCCTTGATATTAAATTTCCAGATTGAAAGATTGTTATAATGTCTCTGTCTCATTATCTTTTTTTAAAATGTACTTTTTAACTGCTACCAATGGTTCTTGCTCATCCCTTCCATTTGCTCCCCACCACCCGCAACCAACCACCACTCTCTGATTATAATTTGGGGCTGAACTGAAGTTTCCGAGAGAATTGTAAATATTGCATGGAAGCCTGAATAGGCCCAGCAGGAAGAAGTATGTGGGATGTGTCTTGTATCATCTGAGGAGTACCATTCCAAGATTTTGTTCATTTGAATAATTATTTTTTAAAAAGTGCTTATGCTTAGAAGTTAAAAGATTTATTTTGGAGAGAGAAAGAGAGAGAGCACGTGAGCAGGGGGAGAGGGAGAGAGAATCTGAAGCAGACTCCGCACTGAGCACGGAGCCCACCACGTCACTCAATCCCAGGACCCTAGATCATGACCTGAGCCAAAACCAAGAGCTGGACGCTTCACCGGCCATGCCACCCAGGCGCCCCTTAGCAGTTTTTTTTGTTTTGTTTTTTGCTTTGAGAATTGACTATCTACATTATCCTGGATTCAAGAAAATGGCATTTTATATTTCACTATTTATAAAAGAAATTATAATAACACTTTTTCAATGAAACCATTCCATTGCTTTTTAAAAAAATGTATTTAAATTCTACTTAGTTAACATGCAGTGTAGTATTAGTTTCAGCAGAATTCAGTGATTTATCACTTACATACAACACTCAGCACTCATCACAAGTGCCCTCCTTAATGCCCATCCCCCAACTAGCCCATCCTCCACCCACCTCCCTCCATCAACCCTGTTTGTTGTCATTAAGAGTCTCTTATGGTTTGTTTCCCTCTTTTTTCCTTCTCCCATATGTTTCATCTGTTTTGTTTCTTAAATTCCACATGTGAGTGAGATCATATGGTATTTGTCTTTCTCTATTTTGCTTAGCATAATATACTCTAGCTCCATTCATGTCATTGCAAATGGCAAGATTTATTCTTTTTGATGGCTGGGTAATATTTCATTATATTTATATATATATATATATATACATACCATATCTTTATTCATCTTTTTTTTAAGTTAAATTTTAGTTAACACAGAGTACAATATTGGTTTCTAGAGTGGAGATCAGTGGTTTGTCACTTACACACAACACCCAGTGCTCATCACAAGTGCCCTCCTTAATACCCCTCCCCCATCTAGCCCATCCCCCACCCACCTCCCTCCATCAACTCTCAGTTTGTTCTCCATCTGAAGAGTCTCTTATGGTTTGTTTCCCTCTCTCCTTTTTTCTCTTTTCCCCCTTCCCGTGTGTTCATCTGTTTTCTTTCTTAAATTCCACATATGAGTGAAATCATATGGTATTTGTCTTCCTCTGGCTGACTTCTTTCACTTAACATAATACTCTCTAGCTCCATCGTCATTGCAAATGGCAAGATTTCATTTTTTGGATGTCTGAGTAATACTCCATTATAGAGATATACTGCATCTGCTTTATCCATTCATTAGTTGATCATTCACTCCATTGTTCCATTGCTCTTAGTTGGACTTTTTTTTTTTTTTTGCTATGAACCCTTGCATGATTCTACTTCATTAATACTTGAATAGATGATTCTTACAATCTCTTATTTTATATAATTTGGACACTTACTTTATCCTCCTACCTTGAGTTTTAAAAAGCCATCTAATGTCCGGGACTCTCACTTACTCAAATCTTTGTATTCCCTGTAACACCCAAAGAGTAAAAGAACAGCCACTTAATAATTATTTGAAGAGTTGAACAGAAGCACTTGACACTCATAAATGCATAAAGTTACTTTATTTTAAGTATACATTTAATTTTGAAAAATATAAATGCTAAAATATCTCATCTTCTTCATCTCTTAATTCCATAAAAGTCACAATAGAAAGCTTCATAAAACTGTAAAATACTATGTTATAGGAATTTTAGGTTTTATATTGGAAAAAATCATTAGTAATATATTGAAATGTTTTCTGTTCTTTATCATTTTGTTCCACCATGTTGATCTACTTCATTTAAAATAAAAAGATGCATCATTTCTCCAAAGTTAATAAAGACTTAAGAGAATAAAAATAAGAATATCTGAAAGTGCGTATTGATTCTGAAAAGTAAGGTGTACAGATATGTACCAGCCATGAAAATGGCTAAAAAGAGGCAACTATTCACTCTTTTCACATTGTAGGACTGGGACAAAGTTAACTTCTGGCTCTAAAAGTTTCACTGGATGACTTTAGCCCTGAGTTGCAATTATCTGCTTGGGAAACAGAATTCAGGATTTTTGTTATGTACCCATGGAGCACAGAGAAATGAGCTAAGAAATAGGCCATATCCAAATTGGTCAAAACACAACTTGACTGGTTAGCATATATCATACAACTTTTTTTATTTCAGGCTGCAATGAAGCTCAGTGAAATCATCATCTGAAAACTCCCAAGGCCCTTCGGACAGTCAAGGGCTGTAAAATATCATTTGTATTCAGCCACTTGGTGCCACTGGGCTTTATGCTCATGCTGTGAAGAGTGGATGTGAAATATCATGGAATAAATAAGAAAATCTCAAGTTCCTGCACCAAAATCATTAAGTGGTATGAAAAGAATTGAAGAAAGCTTTGTCCCATCCCTGAACAATGTCAACCTCTGTAATACAACTCAAATGGTTTCGTTTTGTTTTTAAAGGATAGTCAGCAGTCAATACATTTCAAGTACTTTAACACAGTTAAAAAAAAAAACAAAAAACAAAAAACTCGGAAGACAATCGTTCTCTGTATTAAACAGCAATGTATAGCTGATAAAAGATTTACTCTGTGTGTGTTGGTGCATGTGCATAACATATACACGAACTGAATTACTGAGAGCAGATAATCACTTCTCCCACCACCCCTCATTTTTTGAGGTGGGGGCTGATCAGAGAGGGTTTTGTTTTTTGTTTTTGTACATCTTGAAGCCTCCATCGCCCACCCCCACTCCCCTGCTTGACTGGAAGAAGAGGCAGGAACACCACTGCCTATGGCACAGAAAATAGTTCGGATTCCAAGTCACTGTCTCACACAGTAGAAAAGAGTGATCTTTATCAAGGAAAACAGCGTCTCCAAGAGATTTTCCTTTCAAATGCAAAACCAGAGGCCTTTATGCTCCTTTGATAAGGCCAACTCTTGGCCCCGTGATCTCTTCAACAGTCAGTTTGTACAATCACAGGACTTCTGCTTGGTATCTTGGGAGTTGCCCTTAGTCTTATACTCCTAACAACTTCAATATTTCATGTCTCTGTATTCGCACCAGGGAAAGATACTTGGTAAAAAAAAAAAAAAAAAAAAAAAAAAAAAAAAAAAATCTTCTATTTTTTTTTTTCAGTTTACATTTAAACTTCTCAGAAAATGAGTAAATTCAGTTAAAACACAGATGATTCGGTGGCTCTGTATGGACTGCGGGTTTTGTTTGCTTGTTTGGTAACTACTCCTGTTCCTCTGAAAGTAATGATTCTTTAAAAGCTTCCCTGGGTTCTGAAATATTGAAAGGGTTTGATATGAACGGTTACTTTTAGCAAACGGAAGGTACTGTTCTGCATTCATTTCATGAATTTCAACCTTTGGTCACAGAATATGGATCATAAGTGGAGGTGCAGATAGCCTTCAGATCTACTCAAAGGCTGAAATATTGAGTTAAGTTGCTTCAGGAGTTCTTTGAAAGAGATGGAGAGAGGCACAAATCCTCAAATACTTGATTCATGATCAGAAAAATAAAGTGTTACATCCAGGGCCTTCATAAAAGTGAACAAAAAGTGTCTTTAATTTAATAAGATCATACGTTAGGCTAAATTTATTATGTGTGACTCTTAGACATTTTATTGATGCTTCCCTTGGTAAAGAAAAAGCTTCTTATAGTTTCATATTAGAGTAATGAAAAAACTAGATAGTATAATCATTTTAAGGAGAACTCTAAAAACAAATGTGATGCCAGAACTTGGCATGTAAGCTTTTAACAAATACCATGTAATTTGCTGCTTCTTTTAATGAAAAAATTGCAGGTCATTTATGTCTAACTTGTATAAAGTTTAAACTTTTAAGATTATCAGATACTATAAAAGTAACAACTAATTCAGGGTAATAAAGTTTTTATAATCAAAAATTTAAGAGGACAGAATTATAATTTAATTAACGTAAGAATGAGTGGGAGTCACTAAGTGCATATTATGAAACCAAAATACATGGTTTCATCCTGCTTCTGGTACTCTTCCTAGTTAGATATATTTAGTTTAGATAGATCACAAATATGGTTCTATGAATCCAAAATTATGAATTCAATATTTAAAATGTTATTTTTAATGCAGATTCACAATACATAATGCAGTCTATTTAAAACATTACATTTAAATTACATGCTAAATTTGGTTAATAAAGGCCTAATTTTCTTTTTTCTAAATTTCAATATGGTACCTTGAAATACATGTACACACACACACACACACATATATATATATTCTAGATGTCCCAATCATAAGGAATAATTGCCTTTCCATCCTAAAAACATGTGTGAGCATTGCTAAAATGTACGTGTGGATGTGTGTGTGTATATATGTACACACCTCTGCAGATCTATCTGCATTCCCATAAACACTGTATAGATAAGTAAATTGTCTATTAATATTCCTATGGACTTTGTATTGTAAATACGAGCTCTTGGATCAATGATGGTATCCGGCAATAAAATACATTTACCCTCATTTGTATACTAGTCAGTCTCTTAGACCTCTGATGGATTTTTCCTATGTGGTTTGGGTTTTATGAAAACTGACACAAGAGGCTGGATAACTTTGCCCATCGCCTACCTTCACTCTGTCTCTTTCCAACTTTGCACATATGTGCACCAGCCACACACAGAGTATGTACACAAACAAATATTTCAAAATGAAAACAATGTGTAACAATACTGTATAGGACATCGACATGGCAATACAATCAGCATCTATGCCTGGATATTACTATTATCAAGACATCAGTTATTCCCATTACATAGGAGCTTCTCCCTTCTCCCTCAATCTCTTCATAGCACAGTAAGTTTCTTTTAAAGAAAGGGAAAAATGGATGCTTAGAAACATGGTGTTTTTAATCTGATCCAGCCCTCTGGCTTACCTTAGAGGTTGTGTATTTGTGTGTGTGTATGTGTGTGTAAAAATCACATTATATACAATACAATTTTTACAGAAAGCCTGGCAGCTACAAATAAGAGGTAGAACTACTCAAAACTATGTTTCCTGCTGCAGGAAAAAATTCATTTTCTTTACAGTAATTAAAAAAAAGTTTAAAAAATTGACAAAAAATGAGTTGCAGGTTAGGCCCCATAATTTAAACAACAAAATCTACGAAGAAAATATTCTTCAATGTACTCAACAGATAAGTTCATTAAAGGGTTAAAAAAAGTTGCATAGGAAAAAGGGATATTCTAGCACTTGCTACAATGATGGCAATAGTTTCTCTACAGGGAGTAAAGTACCTTGAGTTTTTCTTCTTCTGATAACTCTAAGATGAGGGCTTACAAGCAAGAGCAAATTAGCATAGCAGCACTTTTTCCAGTCCTGGAGAGCTCTATAAGCAAGGGGGGGCTCTGCCTGGGGGCCCCGGGTTCTTCTGCCCGACGGACACACAAGCTGTAAGCGCAGCTCCAAAGCTAAAGTTGTAAGTTCCTTCAATGTTTTAATCAAAGGTGTTACAAAAGCCTTAATACTTTTGCCCTCTGCTCAATAAAGGGAAAGCACAGGGTCTGTGCGTGTCTTGAGTGACAAAGGAATTTGGATGTCAGAGGACACATCTGAAAAAAAAAAAAAAAAAGAAGAGGGGATTCTTCAGATGTTTTTAAGGAACGGTGCACTACTGTCTTGATTCTACCTATGCAAGAGAGAAGCAGAGTGAGTGCTAGATTATTTGGCCAAGGACCAAAAACCAAAACAAAACAAGAATTAAAAAAATAAACAACTAGACAAAACCCAAGAACATTAACAACAAAAACTGTCCATTTGAAGAAAGACAAACAGGTTACAATGTAGTTTCTGTTCCCTTGCTCCTCCAGAAATAATCATTGTCTTCAGGCTCAAGTTCTATCCTAATGTGAGGCACAACTTTTACTGGAGTTCTAGGAGGACTAGAGAAAAAAGAAGAAAAAAAGAAATAGTAAGTAAATCGGATTCCCTTTATCATCTGTCAAATGTATGTGCATTGTGCAGAAGCTGAACATGTTCTCTGTTCTCTTTACTTACCTACTCTCTCCTTATTAAAAACACCTTTTTTTATTGTTTTAAAGATTTTATTTCATTTTGACAGAGAGAGACACAGCGAGAGAGGGAAGAAAAGCAGGGGGAATGGGCGGGAGAAGCAGGCTTCCCGCCGAGCAGGGAGCCTGACGCGGGGCTCGATCCCAGGACCCTGACATCATGACCTGAGCCGAAGGCAGGCGCTTAGCCGACTGAGCCACCCAGGTACCCCCAAAACAAACATTTTTTTAAATGGGATGAAGGTACAAAAGAGTCAAGAGATTCAAGTAGAAAATTTCATAAACCTTCACACTTAGATTAAAAACAAAAATCACAAAAATCAAGAAGGAGGACTGACAGGTGGGTGATACCGTCAGAAATCAAAGGACAAATAGACCTACATGAAGAAAATGTCCCAAGATTTTGCTTTTTGGAAAATCGAGGAAGATCTGAAATGTCTAGAGCCGTGTTAAGATTAGGGAAGGAAACTACTGGTGAGCTGCCAGAAAACAGCGGTTATCCCTTAAATCAGAGATGATATGGAAATGATAAAAGCAAACATTGATCCTGGGCTTTACCTTAACGATACTGAATGTGTCCATTACTTCTAAGTATAGTAGGTCTCTTAGAATACTTTCTACATAAAACCTGGGGTGAGGTTTGGGGATTGGGTAATTGATTCAAGATAGTTTGGAGACAGGAAGGAAAACAAGGCGTTCTGCCAATAATCTGCCATGGACTACATTTCTGTGGGGTAATCATCCCACAGAACAACATAAAACACGGAGTTGTCCTTTACCTTGGCATACCGAGTAACTGAAGGAAAGGAATTTTATCAGCATGATGTGTGGCGTTCAAGGAATGTTGGTGATCTTTCTCCTGGAAAAAAAAAATTTCTTTAAATCATGAACAGTACCCTTCGGTAATGTATAAAATTAGAGTAAAAATAAAAATCTTTGTAAAAATTGATGCATTATAATTGGAAAGAGAGAGGCAAATTTAGACAATTTCTTTTTTCTTTTTTTTTAAGATTTTATTTATTTATTTGAGAGAGAAAGAGAGAGGGAGAGAGGGAGAGTATGCGCAAGCAGAGGAAGGAGCAGAGGGAGAAAGACAAGCAGACACCACGCTGAGTGAGAAGCTGGGCTTGATCTCATGACCCTGAAATCATGACCTGAACCAAAATCAAGTCAGATGCTCAACCAACTGAGCCACCCAGGTACCCCTGGACAATTTCAAGAGACATAGGATTGAGCTAAGAAACTAAGTTAGGTGACCAAGATAAAAATCTGTTAGTTTCATTTCCCCTAGGTATTCTGGGATGGACCACTGTTGTTTTCTTCCATGAAGGGGCAGGAGGCCAATCAATTTTAGAGCATCTACTTAATGTCTTAAGCCTTGCCCTTGGATTTCCTTTCATCTTCAGCATCCACAGTTTTGTCCTGCTGTTATTCATGGGGGAGAAAAAGATTGTGAGGAACTTAATTATCAGGCACCTCTACTATTAATTTTGTTCTTTCATGGCTTATAAAAGATTAATATGACATTAGAAAAGATTTCAGTTAGATGACCAAAGATATTTTGCTTAAGTAAATTTCTAATATCAATTTTCCATGTATCCCTCTAATGGGTTTTTGAGAGAATGAGTAACAACTAGCACTAAATAATTGATTTGACATAAACTATTTCCATGAATTCTAACTGGTGGTGCTTTATTTTTTATTTTTGAAGCAGCCTTTAAACTGTACCTAGAAAGGCTGTAACAGGTCATGATGCCAACAGAAGACATATGTGCTGTGTCCCTTTCAGTTTCATTTTGCTATTAATGCTCTGGCATTAATAAAATGAAAACTGAAGCCAGGATATGGTTTGAGGAGCTTGAATTCAGAAAAGGAATATTAACCAAATCCTGCTGATAGGACTGAAAAGAAATTAGCCTCAGTTACAAGTTATAGGTTACGGACTGGACACCAAAGCGAGACTGTTCTCTAAACCCAGTGTGGCAGCCAGCCTCCAAGGTGACCCCTGCTGTTCCCTGAGCCTCCCGGTATTCATGTCCTCGTGTAATTCCTCCCCATTTTGTACCAGGGTTGGTCTGTGTGGGACCAAAAGAACATGGCAAAAGTGATGGCACGTCACTTCTGAGATTCAGTGATAAAAGACTGCAGTTTCTGTCTTGGTTTCTCTCTCCATTCTCACTGGCACTGGGGGCAGGCAACTATATGATGGGCAGCCCCACGGAGGTGCCCAGGGGCCGGGGAACTGAAACTTCCTGCCAACTGCCTTCCACGTGAACTTAGAAGCAGATCCCAGTTCCTGTTGTCTTCACGTTTGGCCCCAGCCAAAAGCTCGTCTACAATCTCACGAGAGACCCAGAGACAGAACCACCTAAATCCTCTGTTCCTACATTCCTGAATGTCGGGAATGTTATAAGGAAGTACTTGTTTGTTGTTTTAAGTTGCTAAATTCTGTGGTAATTTGTTCCATAGCAACAGATAACTAATATACCCATTTTTCATAAATAGTCATTCATTCCAAACTTCTCTTGGTAACCTCTTACTGAAGTCAAAGTGGCATTGTCAGATGGAAATAAAAGTGTCTCAACTGTCTTTTTCCCCCTTAATAGGTCAGTAGACTTTGAAGTGCATCTGGATCTAAAAGAAGATATTTTCTTCAAATGACACCCCAAAGTGAAAGTAGTTTGGAAGCAATTGCTACTTGCTATTGGAAAAGCTTGAGATACTCACTAATGTTACTAGAGCGGTTGTCCCCTTTTTCAAGTGGCCTGTTACCCCAATTACAGAAGAAAAGATGATGTGTCAGAAATCATTACACCTTAGCCACCAACCTATTACCCCAAAAGACCAGTCCAGTTAAAAAGGTGTTTTTGAAAGAGCAGAAAAGGAATAAGGAAATTAGGAAGAAACGGCACATATCTTATAAGTAATACCTAAAAAATTGTATTAATATTTTATGATCACTAATTTAATTGAAAATAACAATTATTCCAAATGCTCAGTATGAACAATTGATTCACTGATGATTTAGATGCAATTTCTCTCTGAGCTCATTTGGTCATTGGCTAAAGCCTAAGGAAGACAAACAGTAACAGACAGTGATGTAGTACTACAGGCTGCAATTCTAAATACCAGTGGAAAAAAAATGAAAAATCAATTAAAAATACAGCTATGAGTTTAGCAATTGAAAGAAACTGGTGATGATGTGTGGATCAGAGAAAAGACTACCAAACAAAAACTTAATAGGTTATGGATAAAAGGAAAGAGAATGAAGCTCAAGGAATGTAAAACTGAAGTTTTATAGTAAGTAAGTGTGAATCTTCACATAGAAAAACAGAAAATAGAGGGAAAGTTAATGTAAATGATAATTCTAAAGTTTCTTCTCTGCAAGTGCAAATCATATTTGAGCAGACACGCAAGAGGTTAGTTCTACTCACTGTCGGAAGGTTTGCTATCACTTAGGAAAGGTTGCTGTTCCATGATGTCCATTGGAATTTTAATACTTGGAACTTTTTCTGAGTATGGGCAATCAGACTGTGAAAGAAATTTACAACAATTTTTAGAAAGTTTTTACTATACAGCCCTCCCTCTCTCCCAGTATTGATCAAGCCTATCATATTAGCACTTACATTGTCTAAGGAGAAAAGACTTTGACATAATCATTTTTACTTGCTAACTTTTCAAATTCTACACAATTTTTCTCATGTTTGTTTTCCTCTCTTCTGAGTTAATGGGATAAAGTCAATTAAAACTAGAACCACACCAAAGAGAGATCACTGTAAATTAAAACAACTGTAAAGCTTTCCATAAGCTAGATTCCCAATCCACAAATACTTATGGCTTTGTTGTAGGGTAAAGTAAATAATCTCAACGTGAAAGATTAAATTTAGTAAACTCCCTCAACCAGAACATGGTCTTGAAATTCTTGTTTCATTTATGCTTTCTGATTCCATGTCCAAGACTTCCCTTCCAAGACAGGTAGAAGACTAACATTCACTATCAAGGAGCCCTCGATGTATAGTTGAAAATAACCCCCCCCAGTACTCCATCAAAACTACTTTAGAGTTAAAGGTTCATTTAAATTTGTTTATACCAAAAATATCTGAAAGCTTAGCAAAACATGAGAAAATAAACAAAAGGAAGGTACCTATGATTGTCAGGTAAGCAGAGAATCACAACCAAAATAAAATGATAAAATCAGGAAGCTATTCATGGGGCTGTTTGAAAAAACAGGTCACCAAAGCCAAAACTATAACATATTTTCACAGGATTAACCCCTTCCTTTTTTAAGGAATTCATTATATTGAATACAAGTCTATGTTTGGACCAAAAAGATCAAATCCATTCCTTAACTGAAAGTACCAAAGAGATGCCCTTTAGCAGAAAGATGGGGGGGGGGGGAGAACCAGAGGTCAAAGAAAATAAAGAAAAAATAAACCTTAACATACAGACTACTATATACATTGAAAATTCTTTTAAGGTGAATCTGAAGAGGGTAATAGGCCACAGTATGATTTTAAAGGACTAAGATACTGCACTTAAATTGACCAAAAAAAAAGATGCCACATGCACGGACCTTTATGAGAATGTCAAGAAGGACAAGTTTTAATCACAGTATTTCACACGTTTCTCCAAATAATAGCATTTATAGATGAACAGGTGGGAAGCTGACCCTTAACCATAGCCTACCAGCCAGATCCAAAAATGACTGAGTGGTTCAAAATACTGCCAAGCCATAATTTTCAATACATCTGTGCATAAAAGTTTTGTAGCTGCCGTGCCCGTGCCCCTGTGTAGCTCTCTTTATCAATGGACCCCAGCACCCCTGATTACCAGGTGAATGCTAGGAGAGCCCCTAAATAATGAGCTCAACACAGAGAACTTATTACACATATGTATTCTAAATTGCCTGGTTGAGTTCACTAAGACAAATACACAAGCTTGTTGTTTTTTGGGGAGGGCTGGGGGAAGAAGAGAAAGAGGAAAAGAAAAGAAACAAGTATCACACATTATCTTCAAGAAAACTGTTGCAAATACAGAGCTGGAAACGGTAAATACCATTAATAAAATAATAGAATTGTTTAAATAAAATATGATTTATTGAAAATTGAAATAAAGAATTTGAAGGACTTCTCAGAAGCTCATCTGATCCAACTTTTGACACCAGAGAACACAAATTTAAAACATCTCAAAAGTTGGTATTTTATTATTTTTTTCTTAAAAACGATTAGAGATGAGGATTCTATAATATTAGTTCATATATTAGTAATATGTGATAAATTTTAAGTTTGGTGTCCATGTACATCAACTGGCATACTTGTTTTGAAAATTCAAGATGAAATATTACTTCAATTATGTCAGTATTTCAGGCATTCCTTTTTTCTTTTTTGTCTTGAGTGGTCTAGAAATTAATTTCAAATTTTGATTTCTAGTCAATGTGTAAACATATCATTCTTTTTAACACTGCACCCTAATCTGTACTGCAATTTAAACACAATTTCTTTTTCCGTCATCACTGGAAACAGAAAATCTATACACCTGTTCTCATTGAAGATGGATGATGACAGTCACAAAAGCTCCCTCGGACTCTTTTCTCTTTAGCTAAATGTGCCTCATATATTTAGCCTCTTTTTATTGGATCAATTTATCTGAAATCCAATTTTGTCTGTTGCCTTCCTTCACTGCACTATTTCTAAATTCTCCACAAGGAATACAATCAGACAGCCTGACCAGCTGGAAATAACCAGACAGGCCTGGACTAGAGTTTTGGCTTTGCCACTATTGGCTGTGTACACTTAGAAAAATGACTTTACATTTTTCAGGCTACATTTTCTCCTGTAAAATAGGAACAAAAACATATACTGTAAAGAGCTGTTATGGCAAGTAAGGACGTGTATGCATGATCACTCAAGATGACATAGTACAGAGGAGACACCAAAACTTAACAATATCCCCACTTTAGAGCTGTATACCAGGGATGCAATTAGAATGTGGATACTGTGCTGTGTAAAATCCACAACAAATCTTCACACAGAAAATGTCATTTTGGTAGTCCTTTCAAAAGGCTACTGGGATAAATTGTGCGTGTGTGCGTGCGTGTGTGCGTGCGTGCGTGCGTGTGTGTGTGTGTGTGTGTGAAATAATCCCAGCTGTTCTCCTAGTACTGATTACAGACCCCTACTAGAGCACCTGTGAAATGGTCTCCTAAAGAAAAACAAAAATGGGCAACAATTTTATTTCTCAACTTAATCACTCAATTGCAGGAGGATCATCTGGACTACAAAACTGCCTACTACAATTATGTATAAAGACCCTAAGCTCCAATTCCCTTTCCTTTTCATTGAAGGGTTACAGAGAGATCATCTTAAATCATGTCAAAGTTCAATGTGAGGATAAGTACAATAGAAGAGAACTGTGGTGGAGAGCCTACTCAAGTGGATACATAGATCACCGGAGGTGAGGTCATAGGTATTAGTCCACATCAGTCTTGAAATTACATATAACTGAGTTATTAGCTCATATTTAAATCCTGGATCATCAATAGCAAAACAAATACATTTTATAGCATTATGAAGCAAGTTTCCTTTTTATCTATGAGATGGGAGACTGGAGTTCTTTAGATGTGGTGGGCTTCTTTTGGAAGTCATTTTTATCGCTATTAGTATATTAATGGCTACAGAAAGACTTCAGAAAATATAAAAAACTAAGGAAAGAAAATAAAGGGCAAAGGAAAGTGAAGAATGACATGTAACCCAGCCAGGTGAACATTCTTGGAACTCAGCCATATCTCACATAAAGGATTATATGTATATAATATATATATTTCACATATATATATATATTTCACATATATATTTTTTTCACATTTATCTCTTTAGCTTTACTTTGGAATTCTGGAAAGTTCCTTACATCATCATTGTCACTGTCCAGACTTCCTTTCTTCTTTTTCTTTTTCTTCTCATCTTCCTTCTTTTTCTTGTCCTTTTCTGGAATGACATCATCGAGGAAGCTGAGGTCATGTTGGGAGAAGAGGTAGTCCATGCCTTTTCTGACAGCTACAAGTGCCAAGATCTAAAAGGATAAATATAGAAAGTATAAAAGAAACCATGTCAGATGAAGTCATGGTGAGCACTGATACTACCCTATCAAAGGCAGTAGAAACCTAGCTTGCATAAGGCTAGAATATGATAGAACTCATCTTGCTTATATGGATTTATATTACCTGGACCACAGACATTTTCTTTATGGGGAAAGTTGGGTCATAAAAGTCTTCAGTAAAACTTACTTTCTTCACTGAAATGTATGATCACGTTCACTTAGAATGTCAACACAAAAGGATTATTTTTTTTTAAGATTTTATTTATTTATTTGACAGACAGAGAGGGACAGTGAGAGAGGGAACACAAGCAGGGGGAGTGGGAGAGGGAGAAGCAGGTCTCCGGCTGAGCAGGGAGCCCGATGCAGGGCTCAATCCCAGGGCCCTGGGATCATGACCTGAGCTGAAGGCAGACGCTTAACGACTGAGCCACCCAGGCACCCACGAAAGGATTAGTTTTTAAACCATTTTCTTCCATGTCAGATTTTCAATAAAATAACTGAAAGTTTAAAGGGAAGAAACAGCCTGCATTTGATTTCTAATTATTCAAAATTAAAACATTACACAAGTTTTTGAAAATCAAGAAAATCTGTACAATGTACAGTATACTACAACATCTTCAAAGTACTAATAATGAGGCAGTCCTTGAGTATGCTCAGATCATTTAATCTATGGGGCAACTTCAATCACTACTATGACCAGAAAACTTACAGTGTGTCAGAGGCTGTGCTGAACTCTTAGGCAGGATTTTCTCATTTATTCCCACCACAAACTCAAAAAGTCAATATTATGATCTCCATCTTACAACTGAGGAAACTGAGGCCTAGAGACATAAGTAAGTCATCCAAGATCACAAAGCCAGTTAAGGAAAAAATACAAGGGCCCCAGCTGTCTGCCTCTAAAATCAGTATTCTTAAAATATGTATCTTTGATGCTATGAGTTGCCCTTGAACAGTAACTTCTAAAGGTACATTAAAGATGCCTTTGCTCAAGAGTAAAATTAGTAGGGTGCCTGGGTGGCTCAGTTGGTTAAGCGACTGCCTTCGGCTCAGGTCATGATCCTGGAGTCCCAGGATCGAGTCCCGCATCGGGCTCCCTGCTCAGCAGGGAGTCTGCTTCTCCCTCTGACCTTCCTCCCTCTCATGCTCTCTCTCTATCATTCTCTCTCAATAAATAAATAAAAAAAAAATCTAAAAAAAAGAGTAAAATTAGTACACACTAGGATATATGAGAATCATGACTCTGTCTCAGATTAAACAGTTATGTTTATCCACATCATGCTCTCTATAGGTCCGTTTCTTCATCTCCTAGAGAAATTAACAACATCTGCCCTACTGATACACATTATTGTTTGGTGATCAAATAAAAGCTCTAGAAAGATAAAAAATACAGTTATAAAGGGAATGCATTTTTTATTATTATTAAGCACAAGCAGTAAGTGATTTACTGGACTATTTCAAATTTATCCAGGTGTAACTTTGTTTTTCCTGTCTTTAGCAAAACTAATAGGTAGACTATACCAACAGGCAAATGGGAGTCATTTCTCATACTCGTTGTGTTTTCCAGTAAGCTAACAGAGTTTAAGAAAAAAAAGGGGGGGCGGATATAAGGGACCATCATGAAAAAAATATGACTCTACAAGTATCACTAGTATTTTATGGCAAAAAAAATTACAAACAACAAATACACATGAGATAAAATAATAACTCTGGCTAAGAGTAAGAGGATTTTTATAAAAAAAAATAAAATATGTCTGTGTATGAGAATTCTGTTTCCAAAGTTGTGGGAGAGACAGAGCAGACCTGAGGCTAGCTTGGTGACTTGCTTCAAGTATACGCGTGTGCATTTTCTTGCAAGAAATGGAAAATTATGGTAAAGTATAAAATTTAATGATAAAGTCGAATGCAGGGCTAGCATTTCCTTTTCTCCTTTTTTCACTTGTACTTCCAAGTGCAATGTTAAGTTATTTTACCTTGCTTCTCATCATATCGTGGCAAGGACTGAGAGCCCAGACTTATCCTTAAACTTAGCAAGAACTTCAAAAACTGCACTTTTCACTCCATTTCTTCAAATTCACTTGTTTTCTTATTACCTGGACTGTAATGTGAAGTACTTTATCATTTAGATTGATTCTATTGTACAATATTTTAAAAACAACTCATGTGTACTGGTGTCTACTAGATGTCAGGCATTGTGCTCTATACTTAATATTTATCATTGTTGCTCAGAATGACAGTACTAAAGCCATGCCCATTTTACTAAGTTCATGGCAGCTCATGGAGGTTCCCCGACCAGAAGAAACCAGTGTTGGTATCTGAACTCAGCTGAGTTTGACACTAAAGTCCAGCATAGATGACCACAGACATAGGAACCTTAAATAACAATTGATCAAATCAAAATTATTTGGCCAAAGCTGGAAAAAATGAGAACCACACAGAAAAGACATATGTGTCTTCTATATTATAATAACAAATGACACTGCTATGACTTCATGGGGAGGTTCAATTAAAGGAATCCTTACCATGACTGGAAAGATGATAGCAGCCACGGTTGACTTGAGGATCCAGAGCAGGGCTAGACACAGCACCTGCAGGAAGGTGAACAGGTGGACCCTGCGCAGGGGGACATGGCGCAGGTAGATAAAGTCTGGCTGGTGCTTCAGGGGCATCAGCAGCAGCTTCAGACGATCCATGAACTGGGGAGGAAAGGAGATGAGGGTACCATGATATTACTTCAAGAGCAGATACACAGAGTCATTTCCACAATGCCTAACTAACGACTAGTGATTTATATATTCTATAATTTAGGCAAGCAGTGTCCTTTTCAGAGGACCCTGGTCAGGGAATACAGAAATTTAGTCCAGCACAGTAAGACATGATAGGAATCTTCCAATATTGTTACTTTGCAGGAATGTTATGCAGATATAGGAGACAAAGTGGCCACCAAAGAATAAAGTCACAAAGCCAAATATAAATTCTAGATGCTCATCTCTTACTTTCTATTTTTACTGAGTCTCCAGAGAGAGAATCTTGTGACTATTTTTGTAATGAAGGAAGACATCTAACTCATGTATCTTACTCTGCCTCAGTCACCTTACCTGAAAGAAGAAAAGATGCTACTATGCATCTTAGACATTTCGGGATGTTTCAAGGATATAAAGGAAGTTTCCAACTTGAAAATGGGAATGCATTGGTATTTTCATAAATTCCACATTATTTATCTATGGCATAACTTAAGTAATAACATTCAGCAATTCATTACCATTCCTTTCAAAGAAAAGCCATAGGACTATGATAGTGAGTTTCAGAGTGTCAACAACTAGATGTTGGAATCTAGGAGAGGCTATCACAATGTTGCACAGAAACAGGTACTACACGGGCCGCCGAGCACCTATGTGCCAGGTGCTGTGTCTCAAAGATTAACTGTTGAGTTGCCATGGATGATGGTGAGAAGGATGATATTTAGGTACCTCCCAGAGGATCTCTCAAGTGAAAGATACTCAGTAAATAGCTGCTGAATTCAATTATTAGGTAGTAAGACTCTGACATAATATCTCTACTTTCTTTCCGGAGGAAAGGGGGAAGTGTGCAAATAAACTAGACTATCACAGACAAGCTTCTTGGAAGCTATTTCCTATGTAACAAACTTACTTTCTCTGCCTACGCCTACTTTTGACTGGAGGGGACCTTGCTGTTTATAAAGACTGGGTTACAAAATTTCTTGCTAAATCAAATCTCCCAAAAGAGGGAGAATCAAGAGAAAAGTAAAGAGAAAAGGCAAGAGGGACAACAGCACTGCAGAATTTGAGAAATCCACGGGCTGTGCCTTTAGCAAAAGATTTTTTTTCCCCATCACTGTGAAATTGTTGATTTTTTGCCTTCTATTTAATTTAATAAACATGTACTGAGCTCCAACTATCAGTTAAGCACCTAGAACATATAAAAATCAAACTTCTGATCTAGACTGACCTATTAGGGGCAAAAAGAAAAAAAAAGAAGAAGAACTATTAGTTTGGGAGCCATATTAGTTCCATATTTTTCCATTTAGGGGAAAAAAGAATATTTACAAAGCCAGGTACTTGCCCAAAAGTTTCATAGGCACAAATAAACTCCCATTCACATTCAACTAGTCCAATCTACGAAGCACCATCTTGTATTTTGTGACAAATATCCCAATGGTGAAGAACTCTACCCAGAGGGGACCTAAAAAAGGGAAAAATAAAACAGCCTTTTCTGTTTTGGGGGGTCTGGCCAACTGCCCAGCTCTATCTGACTCTAAAACCAAATTAATCTAAATTCAATAAATGAAAGCAAGGACTATTATGAAGGGGTTTAAATAAATTCTTATGATGTTCACAGAACATGCAGTCTTTTCCCATTAAAACATTAGTAAGTGCTAAATAAGGCTACAATTAACAAGGTGCCAGAAAGCAGCAGAAGTACTTCCAGTCTCCCGGTGCCAATTAAATTAAACCTCAATTGAAAGACAAAGTCCCTTACAGAGTTTTCTCCAGTGATTTTTTTTTTTTTTTTAAAGGGGCCAGTTTTACCCAAATTGTGAATAGCTGAAGTTTTGGACAAAAGTAGCACTAAACCGCATTGACTTTATTCTTTTATTGATGCAAAACTTTTGCTCATTTATCTCAGCCATGTGAAAAGCGAATCAAATAATAGCCTATTCTTAGTATGGTTTAAAGGCAGATGGATAAATGGAATCTTGAGGAGCACACCGAAAGGGTTCAATTTCCTTCTTGAGATGAAGGAAGGAAGGAGGGAAGGAAAGAGAGAAGGAAGGAGGGAAGGGAGGAGGGAGGAAGACAGGTCACAGCTCTCTCACTTCCCCAGTTAAATGACCTTTAACAGCTTATTTCAAGAATGGGTACCTATGGTAACATTTGTTAGCACAAATTAATTCTGTTAATTAAGTCAGAAATAAGAAGCAGTTGTATGGCAGAGAAAGTCGGAAACAAATGCATTTTATCTACCTACCTACCTACCTACCTACCTACCTACCTATCTAACATATAGTGCAATATTCTTTTCGGTATACAGTGTAATGATTCAACAATTCTATATACTACTCAGTGTTCATCATGATAGGTACACTCTTAATCCCCTTTCTCTATTTCACCCATCCCCCCACCTCCCTCCCCTCTGGCAACCACCAGTTTGTTTTCTGTAAATACACACATTTTAAAAATTCAGCAGTTAATAAGTAGCACTTCTCATCAAAGATCTGTTACTGGACTACTCTTACTACTAGAAGAAAACACAACTATACTTAGATTGCTATGGAAAACTTACTTGCACACCGTTAAGGGATGCTACCCCCATATACAGGAACACACCATAGAGTACAGGCATGGGAATAAACTAGAAAGAAAAAAAAATGGAGAAAGATTAAAAAATAATAATAATAAAAACAGTAATGAAGAAGGATAGTTTAAATAAAGGCCAAATCTGAAACTAAAAGATAGGACATAATAATATAGTGACCTCTAATTAGTGTACTCGTCATTGACGAAACTTCTAAACTCTATACTAGAAATACGTGGAGGGAGACTTTCAACTTTCATTTGATGCCCGTTGGCATTTTTTTTTAAACAATCAGCATGCATGACCTCAAAAATAATTTTTTTAAATGGGAAAAAAAAATGTTTCCCTTTCCCCTTAAAAGGAATGATTATGTAAACCAGATGTTTGCATGAAATGTGAGGTAGAAAGAGAGATAGACAGTGGTTGCTTCACTCCTGAGACCAAGTTCCTTTCCAACAGTCTGTTGATTTTTTCCTTAATAATTTTTGCCAAATGATCTATCAGTTTGGTGTGTAAATGCCTCTTTCAATTAAGCAAACATCAAACGGCTGTCCCCTTTCTTCCTCTCAGGAATATTAAGAGGACTAACTAATGAGAACACTGCTTGAAAGGAGCATTGAGCATACGGAAGCAATTAATTATACACATGTAGTAATACACATCTTTAAAGAGTGAATTAATACATTTTCAGGCATTAATTAGCAAGAGTCTTTTACAATAATACAAAGTGTTTTAACAATAGGAAGTTCCAATTCGATGTTCCTTAAGTTTTATCTATTCCTAGACCTTTGAAATGTCCTTAGTACTGTAGAAACTAAGCAACTCAAGGTTGATTCTGTTTCTAAGAAGTCTTCTATTTGAACAACAAAAGGTTCTCAAGCTTGGATTTTGAAAAGAAGTTCAAGTAATTTCGGTTTTCAAAAACCACAATCAATTAAGTTCAATCTTACTAAATCTACATAAAGGAGGCTTTGTAGCCAGGAAACAGTATGATTTCAGAGTAATTTTTAAAGAACTATGGCATGTATTAAATGGAACACAATTTCTATCAGTCTCCCCCTGGCATGACCTGAAACGGTTCTGCATCTGAGACCCTTTGGCCACTACTGTTGAGAATTAGTAAATTCAAAATATGTCACGACTATCTCCAATGGTTATCGGCTAGCTATAGGAATTGTTAAATTCATATGTAATACATATATTTATTTACATAAAACATCACACGCTCCTTCTAGAAAAAACTAGTAATTGTAACATAGCTAATTTGATCTTAAGTTCAGAAATAAATAAGTGACTTTGACTGCTGAAGGGGTCGGAGGGACAGTCTGAGTACTGGGGACTCCATGTGTGCCGTCATACCCCACAATCACCACAAAGAGGTGAGCACATCACATTCAAGCCACTTGAGGTCAAGCCACTTGAGTTCTGACACGTGCCTTTATTTCCTTTAGAATGTATATATTTCCTGTACAAACTGACCAAAAATAAATAAATAAATAAATAACCAACAAAGAAACCACTTCAGAGCTTTCACTCATTTTTTAAATTTTTAAAACATCTGTTACCGGCAAGGGCACTCCCACTTTTCTTTAATATATGATGATTCCTTTCATACATTCATTTCATTTCTAATTCCTTGGGAAGGAAAGAAAGGTGGAAGGGGAAAAGAGAAGCATAATTCTCTTATAGTTGGGCATGTAGTTAGAAATCCTGCAGTAGTTACTTTTTAATCTGAGTAAAGTGTTTTTTTCTGGCTTGAAAGAAAGTAATCACAAAGGTGATACTGAGCCTTACCTCCACCCCTCCCCTAAGTTTAGCTAAATATTTTCTCTAATGTAGTTCTAGGACCAGAGTGAAGGAAAGTTGTACCATGGTGCTGAGGTCTATTCTCTCTGAATTTATGTCAGATTTCACCAAATCTACCACAAAATAAAATCAGAAGGTACCCTTAACTCAGAATGGGGTATGGGTAGGAAAATAGCTTGAGAGATGATGATTTTTTTTTAAAAAAATATTCTTTGGTGAAAAGGAAATAGCACATATAAGGAAGTCTATTGATTCAAATTTTGGGTCAACTTCACTGTGATACAAATGTCTTAAGAAATGCACCATTTTCTTTAAAATAGTGCAATGTTTCTCACTAAAAATCTTTCAGTTTGGAAACCTTGATGAAATGTGACAGAATTACTGGGTTAGAGGATGTTTTTTATTGGATTTGGTTCAATTACTGGGTTAGAGGATATTTTTTATTGGATTTGGTTCAGAGTCCTATCAAAAGTTCAATCCTTAAAAATTCATCACAATAGAATCATTCATCACAATAGAAATTTCCCAAAGGAAGAAAAAGAACAATGTTTTAAAAAGATGTGATCCCATTTTAAGTTAAACTAGTATAATATACATTGCATAGCAGACAGGCATTTTTATAAAACAAGACAGGAGAAACTAAAACACAAAAAACACAAGGTATACTAGGTTCATAGGCACTTGAGAATTGCCAAATTATAAAATTCTGCAAATAAAATTACATGATTAAACATAGCCAGGAAACCAAAAAGCCCAGTTATAAGTAAATATTACAATGCTTTTAATAAATATTAAAAATGAGAACGTGCAATGCTTGGTCCTACAACCAGACAGAAAAATTAAATTGAAGTCAATGAAGATTTTAGCATACTCAGATTATGTCAGCAAATTTTTCAAATTCTGGTGAATGTAGTTCTACTCTTTTTTTACTTAGCCCTCCCTTTGATTTTCTGATAGTGTTAGAATATTCCCATAAGAAAAAAAATGTGAAAGGGTAAATTTAATAAGAAAGGTATAGATGGTAGTTGTCCACAGTGCAGAATTCAGTGCAGGAGTGAGACCTCCTAGCAGAATAATAGTCATTGTGTGTGTGCACGTGCACGCGCGCGCGCGTGTGTGTGTGTGTAAAACAAAGAATGAGGTACTGATGAGCATGGAAGCATAGAAGCTAGACCTGAGTTCCAATTCTGGTTCTACCCATTGTAGAACTGAGAGAGAACTGTCAACTTCTATCCTCAGTATTCTCATCTGTACAGTGGTTATGATAAAGATAACATAATACATAAGATCTAGTTCAGGGACTGGCTCATAATAGATACTCAAGAAATGATAAATGTGGTACTGATGTCATTGTTAGCATCAGGACCTTCACTGGCAAGTCGAGATGCCTGTGACCGCCAAGCCCAGCCCCCTCTGGTCCCTCTGTGGTAGGGGTGGGGGCGGCCAGAGAGGTGGCTGCAAAGGTCAGACTCGAAACCTCGGTTTTCTATAAGCTCTACAATATAGTCCTTTCAACTCTAACAACTGTCTTCAGGAACATGTTATTAAAGTAACATCCTAATGCCCTTAAGCCTTAAAAATCCGGGGCCATAAGGAAGCTGCTGACTTGAAATCCCGTCCTTAGTCACTGACGGAACCATGGATGAAGAGGTTGTGAAAATGCCACATTTCTCTCTACGTAAGAGAACTGGAAATTGGATCAAGGAAGCTGGGGAAGATCATCTCATGGGAAATGAAAGTAATGGAGTTCTTTGAGGGCAATACTGTTTTATTTTAAAAAGGCAATAAACCATGATGGTTATGAGATCAGGCTTTTGGAGTTAGAACTGCCTGAGTTCAAATCTTGGCTCTACCATTTAAGAACTTTGTGACTTGGCCGGTTACTTATATATTTTTTTATCTGTAAGATGGATGCAATTATACATACGTTTTTCATAGGTTTTATTGGAGAACTAAATAAAAAACAATCTGTGCAGAGCTCTTGGTCCGATGCCAAGCTCCCAATAAATGGGAGCCGCTATTACCACCATCCTCCCCCTCACTACCATCTCTCCTCCTTTCCCTGATACCGAGCAGAGTGTGGCACACTGTAGGAGCTCAACAAATGCTTGCCAGATACAAATCAAATGCTAGCCTCCACATTCTAGAACCCTAAACAAATGTGAAAGACAAATTTCGGCTGCACCTCATGTTAAAGATGAACTACTTCAAGCAAAGGCAACAGAAGTAGCAGTGAACTTTACTTGATCTTTATTTCTTTAAGCTTGCCAAAAGAATTGAAAAAGCAAGCTCTAGGAACGGTCTTTCATCTTTTTGCTGCACTGTGGTTGGCCCCAGTCTCCCCATACAGAACCCGAGCTTAACAGGCAGTGTTTCTGCCACAGAGACACAGATCTAAACTGTGTAAGCAGCCTGGGAAGCCAGTTCTTCCTGCTTCCCCACAGTTCTGTACTGAATCAGGGGTGGGATTTGAGGCATGTGTGAGTGCAGCTGGCTAAGGTCACGGGGTATCCTCATGAACTTAAAGCTAATACACTATGATTCCTTACATTTTTTCCATGTAAAAAGACAGGCTTCGGCAAAGAGATCAAAACAGAGGTCACAAGCTTCATGTTCAAAGTAAGCCTGCATAAGGAGGCGCAGGGGACAACTACCCACCCTGCTCAATGCAGGGAGAAAATTACTCGCATCCTCTGAGGCACTGAACCTGTGGGATGCAGGGAGCTGGGCAGGGGGAGGTGCTGAGCCACGTCATTTTAAAAAGTGAAAGGCCCATATTTCTCTTGATTCTGTTCATTTGATCTGCCTTTCAAAGGCAGACTCTTAAGTAAAACCATTCTCTAAAGTTGTCATCTGTTCCTTTAAAACACACATACTCCAATGGTGGAGGAAAAAGGCTCCCTCCTCCCAAGTAACCCCTGATACCTCTTTCCGTGTGAATTCTGAGGTTAATTGTTAATCCTGACTCCTACTTAGTTATTACGGAGGTTTTAGTTAAACTGTACCCTCAACATCTGCTTCTTCCTGTATTGACTTTTTACATGAGCTACCAAGAATTCTGGGGTGAATGCTTCTAAGCTACCCAATTTCTTGGGAGGAAGGGCACATGATCTGAAACTAGCTGATGTGATTCCTGAAGGAAAGAACACTTCTACTCACCGAAGTCTGGAATCACAATTGTCAATGCTGGACTATTTTATTCTTGTTGTTTTCAAATCTAGGTTTCCCACAATATATTGGAAGCCATAGTAACAGAACAGTTTCATTTCCCACATTTTGGGCATAAGCCTTGCCCAGTAAAAATGTTTGCTGGACCACCTTTTTCACTGATTCTTACACTGACTCTTTGCATTGACTCAAAGTTACCAGGTGGAAATGGCCATAATTATGAACATTAGCAGCTGAACAAGGGTGAGCTTGAGGAAGGTCAAAAGGAAAAGCAAGCTCATACTTGCTGATCCCTTACATCTCTCTTTCTCCTTTCTCTGTATTATAATCTGTTCCTGCAGATACTAAGGTGCTTTGCATATCAGGGCAAAAAGAATCATTGTAAAATAAAGAACAAAAGGGCTTTCAGCTTTAATTCCTCTGCAGCCACATTTGGGTGCAGGGTTAGAAAATAGTTAGGAAGAGGCGTTGTTGAAAATGTGAGTCTTGCATCTTTTCCTAAAAATAGCAATTTATACAGTATCTGTTCTCTGTTTCCCTTTGGGATCATACGTGATTACTCAGCTGACAGATTCTCTAAGATTAAAGCCAATTTGCTGTAACAAAAAAAAGAGAGAGAGAGAGAGAGAGGGAGAGAGAGAGAGAGCTTTTAAACACATCTGAATTTTTTGAGTTAGGATTTGATACTGTATTAATGAAAAGACATAATATAAAAATAAAAGACAAAATGGGTGGGGGCTGATGGGCTAATAGGCTCAACTGAACTGATGCAAAGATTTCTATTTATCCCCTACTGGTAGCTAAGCGCTAAGAGACCCCATAAAAAAATCTCTGCAGTTGTGTCATGTGAGCCCACCTTTGGGGAACCCAGGGACAAATTCATTCCTGTAGATCCTCCCACAACATGAGGTCATAATTGCCTGCAATGACCTTTCTAAAACTGGATCTGTCCAGATGAGGTTCTACGGCCTATGTGGTAGAAAGCTGTCATTAGACTTTTCCACCGGCTGATGTGCTAGTGTCTATGGGGCAACAAAGGAACATAAAGCCTTTGGATAGTGGATGTGATGCTGTGAAACTCACAACTTCAAACCTACCCCACAACTTGCTTTGCACTGGCAAAAGGGATAACAGATTTCCCTCTGTCCCTGCAAAACCTTAAGACCTGGACTCTCTTGAGGTTTTCATATATGCCCAGAAACAACTTCTTTGAGGTTATTTTAAATTTTACTTTCCCACATGTTATGTGAAATATGTATTCCTTCATGATTCCAGGCAGAAATTAATTAAGCCAGTTTCAGTTCATCGTGGAAACCAGGGACAAGGGGTGAATATTTAAATCTTTTAACTGTTTACCAAGCATTTTGTGCATAACATATGCGATAATCTAAATACCCTGAGGGCAAAACCAGTCTTAGCCATAAGCTAAGAAATTATAGTTCCACTTTCCTCAAATTCATCTGAATGGCAACCGACTTATAAATGTGCCAATTCAAGAGAACGGGGGTCTTTTGCCTTTCTCTCTCTATACTTCTGCATGGTTTGAATTCTTTACAAGAATGTACTGCTCCATCACTTGTGTAGTTAAATAAGCATCTTAAAAATCTGAAAAATGAGAGTTGTCTAAAAATAAACAAAACTTTTCAGAGACGAATTTGAAAGGATATTAACAGTGGTCGTTTATAGCTTCTAGGTCTATAGGTAATTTTCATGCTTTGCACTGTGGTGCAAAGCATCAAATACAAACTATCAATAACTGGCCAGTATTGTTCATATAATAGAAGGAAAGAATAAAATGCCTGTGTCACAAAAAAAGAAATGGAAGCTTCAGGACAGCTAAACCTGCTCTTTTAACCCTATCTCGTCTTCTAAATAGGTTTTCCCATACAGTTCCCATTCATCTGTTTTGGCAGATCGTCACCCCATCGATCAAACCTATATATTTGACTCCTAATTTTCTAAATCATCTAGCATGTCATTTTTTCTTCTTCAAAAGTTCATTTCTAAAGTTTTCTAGTCATAAATCAGTAATTTTACTCCATTCTCCCTCTGTGGAGATTAGGCCTTCTGATTCAAAGCCAATAGAAGCACAGTCAGCAATAATTAAGACGAGGAGAAGAGTTACAAAATGATCATCCATGTTACCCAGGAGTCTAGTGCGTGCGTGGGGGGGGGGGGGGAGTGGAAGCAGGATTTAGGGACAAGTAAATGGGAAGTAGTGGGAAGAAAGGGTACAAGGAGAAGAGTAAGAAATGCAGTGAGGAGGGGAGGTCAGTTAGACTAAACTGTATGGAATTGCCCTTTGTATAAGTTAAAAATTGAATACTGGTAATTTAATACGGTGCAACCAAATACCTACAATAATAATAATAAATAATAGAAGGAATGAAGGAGTGAGAAGGACATCAAAATAAAAGTTTTCAAAGTCCTTGTTCTACCTGACCCCTGCTTCAGTGTGTTCCAGAACTGATGAGAATCTTGCAGATAAGGAATTCCACTCCTCACATAGCCAATTATCTGTCAGTGTACTGAGAAGGAGGAAGAGACAAGTATTTACCACATATTTACCTTCAAGATGGGGGCCATAAAGACCGACAGACCAGTCAGAATAAACACGAGGGTTCCAGTGACTCTTTGTTCCCTGAAACCAAATCAAAAGATTACCAATTTACCTCTTGTTTTCATAAATAGGCCTTGTCTTTTCCCCTTCAAAAAGGACTATACATTGACCAAATAAATGTTTGACTAAAACAGCAAAGGTCTTGATATCTTATATAAATGAATACCTCGAAGACAGCATATAAGCTCCATGTAACTATAAAATTCTCTTATTGTATAACGCGATTTGAATTCGTCAAGAGAAAAGGGATTCTGCTAAATCCTTTGCTCTTTTCAGAATTAAAAAAAAAAAAAAGTCACTTGCTCTTGGTCCATCAATTCCTGGCCTCTTCGAAGCCCTTATTTTTTAAACGACTTGTGCTGTTGTGTAATTACACCTTCTTTCTCAGGAGACAGATATTACATTGTCCTGCATTCTAATTAGCAAACAGCTCAGGGAAATTTCATAAGTGCAATAAATCCCATCAGTCTAATTTCCAAAGCTAAACAACAAGAGTACTTTTTAACAAATAGGATTCCCATCCAACACCCCCAGCCCCCAAGAAAGAATCACCCACTGTTGTGGCGTGGGAAACAGTGGCTCTGTCCTGCAAGCTACTCACCCAAGCACTTGCGAGCAGGGCTTGCTGTGAACAGCATTCAACACAGTATCAAGGTCTTATGCAAGCCCTTCCTGGCTACCCAAATTTAACAGCTGGCGGTCAAGGCTTCTCGGTGTTTATGGGGACAGAAAATGAACTGGGGAATAAGAATTCCTTTCCCTTCATAGAATCTTCAAAATCACAAGCAGACTCAAGAGTTTTGGGGAGTCTCAACAGAGCTGGAAGGTTAAAGGGTTTGGCCTTTACATATGCTTGTGATGGAGTGGTTATCACAGCACCGAAGCGAGCTACCCGTGAAGAAAATGAATGACCTGCTTGTGCTTTTACATTGCCTTAGTTAGCCTGCATCAGCCAAAGGGAATTTATGGAACATAAGACGCGAAATCGAAAAATTATTGAAGACTCTCTTTCTAATGAAAATGTAGTCCTTTCTGGAACATCAAGTACAGGAATAAATTAATCATCACCAGCCTTTTCTCCTCCCATTCTGCCCATTTCCTACGAATGACATAGGTGTGGCATGATGTGTTTTGCAGAGCCATTTTCCTCTGACTTACACATACCTCACTCCTAGGAACTTTGGTTGTTCTCCGGGGGCAGAAGTCTCTGTCTCCATCTTCAAACTGTCGATGTGAGCAATAGAGATGACGGTTGCAGCCACATACCACGGAAGAGCCATGAAAGAGCACACCACCATGAGGATGGCGACCCAAAAGAGATCCAGGTGATATCCAGCTCCTTTCTGTAGAGAGAGGTAACAAAACCATATGGAAAACAAACAAACAAAACAAAACTCATCTTTCTATCTTGTCCTATTTCCAGATGGGAATTAAGATGACCAAAAAAAACCCCACCTCACTTAGCTTGCTAAAAATATCTACTTCAAGGTAAGTTTTTCAAGGAAGGGGACTTTATCTTCCCCATATTATCCCCCCTAGCAATTACACACAGAGCTGCCACGTGACACCTCCTCTAGCTTGACTGAAATTCACAGCTTACTTATCGTTTGCTTATTGTCAGTCATCCTCTCTGTATCCAATTTTGTAATCAGAAAGATGGGAGATAGAGATCTACCTTGAGGAGTTACTGCGACCATTCGCATACTTCACTTTTAGTGAAGTAACAGAGGCAAAGCATCTTATAGGAACTTAAAAGGTAGTGGTTGTTGTGTAGTAGGAGCTCAAAAACATGGTGATGGCAACAGTGGTGGTACTGGTTGTTGTTAACCTAAGCACAATAAACACCTTAAAAAAGGCAGGTACCAATCCTTCTCTGTTTGACTGTTTAGCATAAGCTGTTCACCTAGATAGTACTCAGCATATGTAGACCAGAGATCTGAAAGCAATCTTGAGAAGGTATGCCTAAGACGATTTCTCACCTTTCATAGTATATGAAAATAATTGTTTAATAACCTATTAAACACGATCATTACAGTAATTAATGCACCCTTAATCAGAATAGGCTGATTTTACTGGTCACAATAATGTTTATTGACTGGAAAAGCAGACTATGTAACAAAAGGTCTCGCTCTTTTACTCACTAAATATTGTTAAATGTGTCCATAGTGTTATTCTGTGGTTATATTTCCCTGCTCTGTTTATGAAGAAATCAAATGCTTAATGCCCCTATGGAGCCTGAGAAAACAGAGCAGTCCATTTGCACAGCATGGAAGCAGAAGCACCAAGAGCCAGAGTATGGCCAATCTGAGGGAATGGAGATGCTGGCTTTAAAAAACTGAGACCGTAATTTACATTAGAAACCTGGTGACTGTTATCATTCAGGTCCGATTACAGTCAGTTAGAACACTGCTATCCTCTCACTGAAACGCCAAGATTTCACCCCTGGCTCACAAACATGGGTCTAATCCTGTTCTCAACTCATCACAGGCAAGGGTAGCTGACACAAGAAAGAAGAGCATACATTGACTTAGTCCAGGTTTGACTATGAACAGAAGTATCCTTGGGAGACAAAGGTTAATACACAGTCATGAAAGCAGTTCATTTCAGTACAAATGGTTTGAAACCATAGGGTTCGGATTGGGAGTGGGCTAAGGTAGGGGAAAGGAGAGCAAAGCGTGGGGATGAGCTGAAATAAACTTGTTCAACAATAACTAATGAGGCGAGTATCATGGTATATCTGGGCCTCAGTCATTCCATTCCTTGAACAAATACTACTACCAACTTACTAACAGGCACAGTTCTGGGTGTTAATGTCCTATCTGTGAATAAGACAAAAATTCCCATCTTCGAGGTGTTTCCATTCTACCGAGACAACAATAAACAACACAAGTAAGTAAACTGTAAACTATACAATATCTTAAATAGTACTAAGTACTAAGTAGAACTATGAAAATTTGGGCTTGTACACTGAGTATGACGGGAAGCCACTGGAGGGTTTTAAGTGGAGGAGTGACATGACCTGCTTACGTTCTAAACACTATGGCTGCTATGCTGGGAACAAAGTCAAGGACAGTAAGCCCAGTTAGGAGGTTGCTCCCATAATCCATGAGAGAAATTGTGATGGTTAGAGCCAGCGTAGTGGCAGTCACGATGGCAAGAAGTGTTTGGATTCTGACTATACTTTAAGGTGGAATCCACAGAAGTTGTTCACTCCTGCCTATGGATATGTCTTATGACCTCACTGTAGACCATTCATGCTCGGGCCTTTGTTCACATCTGCAGCCTCATCCTTCACCTCTCCCCTGCCCCCATCCTATACCATGGCCACCTTCAATCATATGCAATTCCTTCAGTATGTCTTACATACTCATGCCTTTGTGTCTTGGCCCATCTAGCACCCTTGCCCTGGAATAACCTCTACTCTTCCTTCTTCTTACCTTGAATCAGTCCTACTCATCCTTAAGACTTAAGTCAGCCTTTATCTTTTCTGGTAGTTTTCCTGCCTCGGTCCAGGTGAGATGGGTAAGTCCAGTTAGGTTAGATTTCCTCTTCTTTGTTCCCCTGTTCACTTTATGCTTTCCTTTACCACAGCACTCATCACACTGTTTTGAAATTATGTGTGCATTTATCTGGCTTTGGCGTTAGACTGTAAGAAACAGGAAGACCTGGACTATGTTTCTTTTTCTCTCTATCCTGAATACCTAAGTAGAGTTCATGGAGCAGAGTCAATTCTCAATTAGTATTTACCAAAAAAAATGAACCACAAATAGCATGTATACATTCTTCTGAATGGCAACTATAAACTCTTAATCAGCCATACAAAAAATTAAAACTTGATTTGTTAATTGGTGGAAATGTGAATCACTTGGTGGGCGGGGAGGGAAGGTGAACAACAGCGGAAAATATCACATAGTTTTAAGCCCGATTTAGACTAAATCACTCAAGACCATATTAGAGGTACCAACATGGTAATTAATGGACAGGATCCCCAAATCCTGGCATCAAGGAAACTGTAATAACCTACGGATGTACACACTGCCTAGATCAATGGGTCAAAAGAATAGCTGTTGTAGAAAAGATCATGTAGACTACCGTGACCCAAATCCATACTTTCTTGCTCTATTTCAACAAAAACAAGTTTGCACAAGATATCCTGGAGACTAACAAAAAGGGGCCACATAATACCAAAGAGGGTGAAATGAGGATTTTGGAAAGTAGAATACAGAGGAAACTATGCAAAGCCACCAAAATAAAAGCTCTAAGAGAAAATAATCGTAGATACATAATTACTATGTGCCCTGACATCATTCTCTTCAAAAAGTCTTCCTTTCCCTCAACCATGTTGAGACTTCTTGCTTCTCTTAAGAGGAAGAGGAAATCATCAACATGAACTGAAGGCCCTGCCAGGCCTGCCTCTGTGTGGTTCCCTCTTCATCGTCAACTCTCCCTCTCTCACTGCGGCCACAATGGGTTCTATCAGGAAGGCATTCGTTCTTGTCAGGTGACTTCCTCTTGTAAAGCCTGTACATACACTGTGATTCCTGTGCCCCAGTGGAGTACTCTTCCCACCCAGCCTCATCTAGCTAATTCCTACTAATACTTGAATCTCAGTATAAGTGCCATCACCTCAGGGAACTCCTTATAGTTCCTGACATAGGTCAAACCTCTCGTACAGCTTCTTAAAGCACCGTCACCTCTCCTTCACAGCACTAGACACATTTGCAATGTCACATTTTGCATGACTATTTGAATGATACCTCTCATCCTCATGGACCAAAAAAGCTCTATGAGGACAGGGACCATGGGTGTTTTTGTTCACCACCATTGAAACCCTAGAACCTGGCACAGTGCCCATCATAGAGTGAACACTCCAGATAAATATTTATTGGGTAAATGAATGAATGTTAATTCATTTGTTCAATGGCACTCTGCTAGATCATAGAAGTAAAATTACAGTAAATAATACAATCTTTGCCCTCAAGTGGCTTACAATGTAGTGCTAGAGCTGGACAAGTCAAGAGGCATTTGCAATACCACACTGTTCTATACATGGGGTGAGCTTGGGGTGCCATGCAGAAGGGGTATTAAGCCCAAAGTCAAAGATGGTATTCAAAGGAGGTGGTATTTAAGCTGAGTCCTAAAATGTGAGCCATAACCGGCTGGGAGGCAAGATATAGGGAGGCAGGAGGAAAAAATTAGGCAAATAAGCCACCATTTTGAGAAAATGAAACAGAGTTGGTGCATATGAGGAGATGGGAGAGGTAGGAAATAAGGCTACAGAAGTTAAGAACTTTAATGTTTTGCTAAAGACTTTGGAATTTTTATCTTAAAAGCAAAGGCAAACCATTAAAGGCTTTTAAGCAGGCAAGTGATATGATCAGATTTCTGTTTAGAAGGATGGCTCTTCTGGTTTGTAGAGGACATGCCGGGAGTGGTCAAGACTGGACGCAGAGAGGACAGACATGACAGCATTGCCATAGTCCAGGCCAGAGCTGACGCAGTTCCAACTAAAGTAATAGGATGGGGGAAGGACAATGGACAGATGGGAGAGATTTTAAGGAGACTGAGTCCAAAGAGGGAAAGGCCATGATTTTGCCAAATTTCAATGCTCAAGGCTTACAATGTCTACCTAGTACAGTGTCCTACATACTGTAAACACTGGAGACATATTTGTTGACCAGAATGGTAAAAGCTATGCTAAAAAAATTATAGCGCCCCAACTATTGCCATAAAGACCTGGAACCCAAGTGGTTATGTTAGAGAAGTTGTTCCTGAACTTATACATATGAAAACAAGCCAACTCTAAGATGTTTCTTTTAGCTAAAGGTATCTGAGTAACTAGATTTGAACGGAATAAAAACAGTATTCAAATATTGGAACTTTTAATAGAAATAGTACTGTAAGAAATAGAGAAAACAGCATTTTTCAAAAATAGCATGTGCGTTGTTCCTTACCCCTCCTCCCCATTGCCAACTGCCTTTTGCAGATTTTCATAATCTCCTACTTGGATTATACAGGGGCCTCCTAACCACTCCCCTCCACCCACCCCCTCTCTGGCACCTCTCCCATCCATCCTTAATGCTGCTAGAGAGGGTGTTTAAATGCAATGCAGGTGCCATCCATCTAGGCTGGAATGTTGAGGGAGCAGGAAAGGCCAGCAGGAGATGAGCAAGTCAAACAGGACAGAACCGGTCATGACAAGCACATGGCTTGCCATGCTGAGATGCTCCCCAACTGATACTATGATAGGGGCCCTCAAAGATTCCTGAAGCTTCATCATTCCTTAAATGGGCATTGCACATTCTGCACCATTCCTCAAACTGGTACCCTGTTTCTAAGTCTT